TACCTGAGGACGTGCAGCAGATTCAGCAGCAGCTGATGGCAGCTCAAGAAAGCACAAGGATGGTGGCAAAGGGAGAAGGTCAGCCAAAACTTCAGACAAACAGTAGTAGACATATGTAAGTTTGTCACAAAGAGCATGCATGAAGGGAATACGTTCTTCAACAAGGAAGGCGACTTAGCACGGGATCTGAAGTTCCAGAGCATTAGAAACTAGAGCAGCCAGTTACGAATCTCGGATTACATTTTACCGGACCTCTTTTCCAAGAAAGGTTGATATGTATGACTGTCCTTACTTGCTCATGTATGAATTATGTGTATTTGTGAAACAATGATGAAGACATCTCTAATGTAATAGCTTAAATGTTGATTCATTGAACGAGAATGAATGTAATATATATTGTCATCTATTTTTCGCTTTATCTCTGTTTTCATTAGCGAAATTCAAATTTAAATTCTAATTCTAATTTGAAAAAGCATTTTTTAAATCTAGAAACCATTAATCAAGGCGGGCAATTAATAACAGCCGCCACCGTTAAAAGTTTAACGAAGGCGGGCGCCTTTATGCAACCGCATCCGTTAAAACATTAACCGAGGCGGGCTCTATAGCGCAACTGCCTCGGTTAATATGTATTAACCGAGGCAGTTGGTTTATAATGCCCGCCTCGGTCAACCGCCTTGGTTAAGGTCATGATTAACCGTGACCTTTGCACCGAGGCGGTTGGCTTGCCCGCCTCGATTAAGCCAAAATGCCCGCCACGGTTAAGATTCCTGTAGTAGTGAACTATTGTAGTACAAATTTGATACTATTAGATTTGTAATCAAATGTACTACCCCAAATAGTCATAAGTTTCTAATCAAATGTACTATCCAATATTCAAATGACTATGCAATAATCAGATGTACTGCTATAATATAAAAAAATATTGATCAAAATATAATTTAGAAGACCAGGCAGTGAGAAGACTCTTTATAAAGTGGACCGGAGGAAGTAGATCCAAGGATTTATGTGTACATTTGGTTGTTCTTGTGTGCGTTTGCACCTTAAAATGAGTGCACATGAGCACAAAAGTTCATATGGACGGAGAAGATACGAATGTAACCATATTTGCACATAGAACCCATAGACATGATACAAAATTTGGGTCTCAAAAGATTGCAAAAGGAAAACCAAAACACCTACAACTCTACGAGTTTAGGGCTTTGCTGAAAAAAAATTCTACACTGACTAGTTTCATTCGTGTTGGTCTCCCATTAGAAATTAATTATTTTATGTGGTTTATAATTAAAAACCATTGTCAGCATTGACAGGGAAAAAGGAGTTGATTGCTTCAACTTGTTGGTCAAACGTGGCTCCCGACAACCGCTAATCGGTCTAACATAAAACATAGTCCCGTTGTTCCTTTCAACCAAGCTATTCAATACTCCCCCGTCCAAAAAAAAAAAAGAAATGCAAGGTATTTTTAGTCAAACTATTTAAAATTTGATCAAATTTATATAAAGAAGTGTAACCATCTATACTATATATATTGTGAAAATATATTTTATGATAAATTTAATAATACCTATTTTTTTGTAGTTGCTTAATACATTTAGTTACACTTAAGATAGTTTAATTCAAATTATTCTATAGTTAGATTTTTTTTGTTCGGAGATAGTTTGTTAGTATAGGCCTATGGTCATGATCCGACGTGCAAGCCATTATGGAGACCCATGAAAAAACGATCAGAAGGTTAAGGAAGAGCATCATCTGTGGTGGCCTTTTGGCCTGAACTGGCTCATGTGGTTTTTTTTTGGTGACCATGGCTAAGCACGTTGTAAGGAAAATGATATCTATCATGATCCATATATTATTTTAGTGGTTGATTGACAATATGATCAATTGAACTAAGGTGGTTTGGTAGTTCATTTGGATGCAGTGATGGATTCAGAAATGGGTTAGGAGGGGGGCTAAATTGTTGAAGGCTAGAAATTTTACTAACATACATCCTTTAGAAGGCTAGAAATTTTGCTAAAATTCAATTGCAGAGCTGTTAGGAGGCATACGTTTTGGCACCGTCGAGTGAGGCTAAAGGCTATTTGCTTGGGCTCCTTTTGCACTGCATAGCAGTGCTGTTACTGAAGATTTTGGGCTACGCCCCGGGCTGCAGCCCTAGCAGCCCGGGCTGTGAATCCGCCCCTGTTTGGATGCAAGGATGACTTGTACAAAGATAGCATGAAGATCAAGCGAGATCAACACCTCAAGAAAGACCAAGTAATACTGTTGAAGATCATAGAAGTCATGCATTAGGTCAAAGACATCAAATCAAAGAAGCTTGGATGAAAAGACGTGAAGAAATTAAGTAAAATGAGCACTATCAGGACCATCAGAAAGAGCCAGTGTTTCACAGAGAAAGAAACCAAAAAGTTGTGTTCAGCATTAGACAGGCAGCGTCCAGTCACTCACGGGAAATGTTTGGTGGTGCAGAGGAATAGGGCACCGGAGCTTAGGCTCAGAGTAGACGGTTCTGCAGAAGTTTTCATTGACCACCAGAACCCTCCGGTGGTACCACATAGCACCAAAGAATTGGTTGTGTTCTCGACACTCTGCAGAAGGTTCCAGAGGTCACTAGATTTCTCGAGTGGCATCGAAGAAAAGGTGCATCGATCGGCAACGGCTAGTTTTCCGATGGCTAGTTGACCACCATAATTCTCTGGTGGGGTCACCGGACCTTTCCCGTGATACTGCAGTTTGCCACCAACAGCTATATTTCGTGGGGAAGACTATAAATACATTTGAGGTGTGTATTGAGCTAAGAATATTGAATTGAGGCTCATCTCTAGTTCATCTAGCCACCAAAGTGCTTAAGGAACATTTAGGTGATTAAGCGTTTGTGCATCGCGAATTGCTTAAGCTAGTTAGACCTCGCATTTGGCGCTTTGTTCTAGTCTTAGGTTTAGTGTTTAGTGAGGTTTGCATACCTCTTGCCACCCAGTGCTTGTGTGCACCATTGCATGTACATTAGGGGCTTGTGGCATCGCAAGACCCTTCGATGTGTGGAGAGACTACCTACGTTGTACCAAGGGAACGAGGCCCTTTTTTCTATAATAAATTTAGTTAAACTTAAAAAATTTGACTTAACTTTAGGAATTAACTTATTCAGGGATGGAGGGAGTTTATAGAAGCTTAAATGATGTCACAAATTTGAGATACACCCCTTCCATTTTTTAACATGTCATATTGTCATGAGTCAAATATTCATAACTTAACTATCAATTTTAAAAATCTACGTAGTTTCGCAGCATGCAAACTATAAATTATGAAAGTATTTCTCATAGTGAATCTAAAAATATAAATTACATGTTGTTAACCTATAAATTTTAAAAAAAATGATGATCAAAGTAGAAATGTTTGGACTTAGGATAAAACTAAAACGATATGTTAAAAAAACAGAGGGAGTAGAAATTCAAGTGACCCTTTATCCTTAGTTTCGTCCATATTTGGATTAGCACAAGAACTATTAGCACAAGGTGCTATGACTAACTGTTTGATGGTTGAAATGACAACTGTTTGTTTATGCTAAAATTTGGCTTATGTTGATTTATTGTGATAAGAAAATACTGTTCGTTGGCTGAAAAGGAGTTCAAGCGAACATATCTTAATCAGCACCGTATATATCAGTGGCTGTTAACATAGCGGGCACACTAACGTTAACTCACAAACGAAGCAACGTGCCTGCTCCGTACTCTCCGGCTGCTCAGCCGGCGGATAAGGTAAAGAAACGAAGAATATATATAAACCACATGTGCGTCGACGGTCAACCGTACCAGTGGATATATGATAATAAAGTATATAAACCGTGTGCGGCTGTGCGCCGAGAGGCCACCAGCAGACACGCGTATGAGGCACCGACACTGCCGATCGGTTGCTTGATGAGCACCACATGCATCAATCAACACAAGATCAAAATTAACAAGCCGCCGCAATGCGTGAACGAACGATGTCTGTTCTGTTTTCCCTTCGTTGATGCACGTCGTTTTCGATTCGGCATATCACATATCAGGCTGCTGGTATGCCGGATATGCGCGTTCCCGGACCGCCGGGTGTGCAGCGGGTGCTCGCCACGGGGCTCGTCACCCGCATCAACGTCAGGTTCTACGGCGACGCGCACTGCGCCGCGTACTGGCAGCAGGGGTGGGACAAGTGGACGGCGGCGTTCCCGGACGCCATGATCTTCGTCGGCCCGCCGGCGTCGGAGCAGACGGTCGGGTACGTCCACCCCAAGAACCTCTACTACGGCGTCGTCCCCGTGGTGCAGAAGGCGGCCAACTACGGTGGGATCATGATCTGGGACCGATTTGCCGACAAGCAGACCAACTACAGCAGCTACGCCATTCAATGGGCTTGATCGATTCGATGATCGGAGCTCCATCTACAGACCAACTACAGCAACTACAGCGTGCTTGTGCAAGAATAAAGTGAGGCTTGTGCATCAATAAACAATCCTCTGGAAATAATCAGCATCTGGCATTTTTCTGAAGAGGGCCGGACAGCCAAATAGAACATGGCCAATCTGCAGAACCCAGAACGAATCAGCTACGCCTCTGTTCTGGTAGCACATGGAATTGTTCTTCTGGAACAGAACAGAGAAATTTCAGGAATAAAGGCAAACTACAGCTTCCACATAATCCTCATGTTGCAGCAGTTATCACATCATATGCAACAAAATGCCAAAATGCTACAGCTCGGGTGTTCTGTTCTGGAGGAATAAGCAGTGAACAATAACCCTCATCACTCCTTCAGTTTTACCGGCTATGCTAGACTACAGTTTTCTTTAAGCCAAGCACTAGAGCCACAACCGCTCGCTTGCACAAAACTTTTCTTCATACCATATAATTGAATGGCAGAACGACTGCCCAAGACTCCTTAAAAATAAATGTCTAAGAGAGTTGTGAGTTGTGACAGCTGACAAGGCATAGGTTCCAACCAAACAGGCCTGAAGGTCATGGGAAATCTTCTGAACATCAATGTTCACAGACTCTATATTTCTGTGCAACTTTTGCTGCCAGGGGGTCAACTGCATTTCGAATCCTAGCATAGTCTTCCCTATTGAGATGCAGGGGCATAACAAGCCTTTGAAGATCGAAGTCATCTCCATGATAGGCACGAAGCCTTATGAGCATGGCAGCAGCCAGGCTGTACGCAGAGAGGCTTGTGGCTATTTCAATGGTTTCCAACATCTTAGGCAAATGCTCTTTTACCTGTCCCAGAGCATCCATACGAGCCAACAAATGTTGATAATGACCAAGGTTTGTCGTGGCTGCAACGCCTTTTAGTCGAGATATTCGTGCAGTTAATGATTGATGGATGCATCCTTGGATTTTGGCGAGACCATCATTATTTGTCTCCAACTCTGTCATTAGCTTGTTTTTCTCATTGACAGCTTTACCTAGCTGTTCACTTAATTCTCTTATATTTGACTTTTCTGCTTCTAATAACCTGTTGACATGGTCAATCTTGTCCTCTAGAACTAAAGGAATAAAAAGATACATTGTAAGAAACATTCTATTTTGACGAAACATGCAGACTTAGGATAATGGTTCAAACTTTATACCTGCATTTCTCTGTTCGACCTGTGTGTCCCTTTTCAACATCATAGTGAAATTATTCTTCAGACTGCTAAGCTCCTCTTTCTTCTCGGCCATCTCCTGTTTCAGGGCTCTATTTTCTCGGAGCGCTTCTTTCTGAGCAGCCTCAGTTTCTTGTGACCGCTTGGATTCAATTTGAAGTCGCTCAGCCTGCTCTTTAAGTCTCTCTTCGATAACTTTGGCCCTCTCAAAAGCTACAGTTTTCTCTGATATTGCATTTTCCAACTCTCTGTGATTTAGATTAATATATTAGAGCAAGTTTTGTTATATTAGGCAAATAATTTGTAATGGTACAAGAAATCTTACTCATTTAATCTGGCAAAATGCTGCATAACTCTTTCTGAATTCTAGTAAAAAAGTATAGGGTTCAGAAAACAGCAGCTATAATCTGATAAAACAAAATTGCGAGTATATTTCTTACTTGGTTGCACATGCTGAAGACTACTGGGGAGGCAGTGGTCAACTGGCAATGCCCAAGGGCCTCTGGAGATGCAAAGGATTCCATTCCAAGCCCCTCATTTGCCTTGGTTTCAGTTTCACCGTCCATTGGTTCAGCCACCAAACATACATCTGGAAACATAGCTGACCTTAATTGTTGGCTATGATCAACCCTGTAAATTATTGAAAGAAACATGTAAGAAGAATAGGGATAGAAAGTACAAGGACCTCATTGAAGAAGTGCCAGAAAGACAAAGCTCAAATAATATAGTCAGAGTAAAGTTCACTGTGATCCCTAAACTTGTTAGAGGGTGCCATCTAGGCCCCTCAATTATTAATCTGAAGTTTCATGTCCCTAAACATGTTAAGTGTTCCCCTCGAGGTTCAAACCTTCTTAATCAACATCTTATCGCTTATGTGGCATGTGCCTATGTCCCATCTTTAACATTAAACGTGGGATCCATAAGTGAGTGGGTCATCTCTCTCCCTCCCAGCCTCCCTCATCTCTGTGCAGTTGGTCTAACCAGAATTTTTATTTGTTTATTGATTCATGTTAGAGACAATAGTGATATATGTAAATGCTGAATTGGTAAAATTAGGGTGACATGGATGACATGAAGATGAAAAGTAGCCAGATAATAACTCACTCCCTTCTTCTGGCAGTCTTCGCCTCTGAGGCCTGGGTTTGACCAATGTAGACCTCAATCATCTCCAAAATCCTTGCAGTATTCTGATGAACATGTTAAATAATTAGAAATTCATTCCAATCATAAATTGTTAAGTTAGCACACCCTCATTGCCTTCATCATCACCTCAACCCCTACCTTTTCTGCCTCGCTTTGTGAAGCAGCAGGAGATAGTGCAGTCCTTCCTTCTGCAGTGGTGTCCACGGTGTTCATGGGATCACCCACTAAATGTGCATTCATTTTGTAGCCTGAATGATAAGCCTCATTAGCTCGGGATGTAAGTGATGGCAGCAAACCAATTCTGGATGCAGGGATGAAAATTCCGCCATCTTGCGCTTAGCAGGAAATATCACTGAGCTTATGCATTGCAGGCTACGATCAGCTCTGTAAATTATTCAAATCAAGACGTAATATTGTGTACTTCCATAAAAAAGGAGTATCATATAAGGAAGCCTATTAGGAAACATTTATAGTCACTAATGGAATTCAAGCTGAGTAGGTTTGTTTAGATAGAGAACAGTAGGGGCTCACCCCTGCTTGATATATATTTTTTTTTCAAAAAAAAAACACAAAGCACATAAAATTTTTTTAGACAAAGAAAAAACTCAAAGAAGAAATACATAGCTTTGACATAAAACGTCAAACAAAGCTGGGTAGTATATGCCAATAAACTAGTTGAGACAGCAAGAAACATACTAGGGAAGCCTTAGCTATGGCTATTACCATAACCTGATGATTGAACTGAAAACACTTTTTTCCAAACTATTTCAGTGTGGGGATGGGGGAGGGGTTGCACACCTACTTATATATTAAATGAAAGAGATGCTTGGCAGCGCACAGTTAGAGGAGGGACAACCGAAAAATTACATATCACCGGACTAAGATCGTACAGTGTTGACTCCAAATGAGGATACTCCCACACTTATCTTTGTACCTGCAGCCCGAGTGACAAATCATGGGCCAGAGCACAGATAGTGTCACGAGTATTGTCATCCCTCTTGTAAAAAATCAGACCATTCCTGGAAGTCCACATACGCCAAAGGGAGCAAATCACGATGAGGGCCAAACCTCGCTAGAAATCCCTGAAGCACGGCCCATGGAGTATGCAGCTCACTCCTGCTGATTTGAACAGCAATGCTGCACCAAACAGCCACCACAGCAGGATATTCCACAAAGAGGTGGACGTCGGTTTCTCAATCACTGGGGCAGTGTTCTCAGTAAGAGTCCTACAAAGATCTGATATTCTTGTGGTGGAGGACCGCACTAGTGTTTAAGCGCCAGTTGCACAGGAGCCAGCTGAAGAACTTGAACTCGTTCAGAAGACATGTGGCCCAGATATACTTCGCCACCTGGTCAATTACCTAGGTATGGTGCAGGTAAGCATATGCACCTGTACTGGTGAAAATGTCTGAGCTGCTGCCAATCAGCAAATGAGAGTCACGGTGGTCAGAGAGAGAAACCGGCACAAGCAAAGCTTCAAGGTCGTGGACATCATGAGAGGTAGCACTGGTGAGACGAAGGCGAAGGTTGAGGTGAAGGGAGCTCCATATGATCGAGTAAGCAGAGGCCCAAGCACGAGTGTCGTGGGGGAAGAGTGTAGGAAAGGTCTCTGAAAGGGGAGAGAAGGTGAGCCAGGAGTCTTGCCATCTCCGAACTTGACAGTCGTGAGGTGGCGCTAGAAAGAGAATTCTTCCAACATCAGCTGGCCAACGGAAGAGTCAGGGAGGCGGTCATCTAGGACCTGACAGAGGAAGTGAAGGAACCATGCCTTCAAAGGGAAATCTCCAGGGCAGTAGAGTTTGTGCACAAATTTTGGTAGGAGACAATGGTTCTGTCTCTCCAGGCACTTAACCCAAATCTGCCCAAAAATTTCAGGAGGAAGACACGCTCCCAGACGATAAGACATTGGGACCCATAGCACTTGTCATCTTCAGTGGAAATAACAGCACAGCATTGGCAGTCTTAGGGAGAAGGAAGGAGGACATGAAGTGGCTTGATAGCTGCAGCAGCCGTCCATGGTTCTTCGTTCCCATAAGGGCCAAGACTCCAGTCAGTCACCATCCGTGCAATTTGGAGAGGCATCACCGGACGACCGAGGGTCCCTGTGCGTCCTTCTGCTTCAACATATTGCTGCAGCCTCCGGTTGTTGCTAATCGCAGTTGTGCCTTCTAATTTGCCCCATCATCAATGTACTGCTGCTGTCGGTCGCCCCTGTATGGAACCTTCCATTTGTTATTTCCCTTTCTTTTTGTTTATATGATTCCCTGCCAGGTTGATAGAACAACTGAGTGTGATGATGCCTAAATTGCCTGTATTTTAGGTTTATCTACTACTCCATGGAGTTGTGGATCCGTCACTATCGCTGTGGTTAATCAATCTTTGAGCAGGCCAATCTGCATAGGCACAATCACATCCTATTTCTTCTAATCATCATCAGACTTAGAGCAGGCCAGCCTGCACATGCAAGTTGGTACAATTTTTATTTCGTACTGTCTCGTGAAGATGTTTCATCGTATTGCACATTGTGGAATGGGCAAATTAAATTTTGCTCTGGCAGTGTAAAAGTTCCTGTTCCTTTTTAGAACGACAACAAAATATCCACTATTTAAGAATTTTAGGTTTCATTCTTTCACAATTGTTTTGTTTCACAATTGTTCGCCCAACGTGACAATTGGATCGAAACACTTTATTTGACCAGCTATCATGCACCGATTTTCTTATACATGTTATATGCATCGTTAACAATTTCATATATCTAAGCATTAGCTGTGTTCAATTCTATAATTACTTTAACATTTTTGCTTCATTAATTCATCCAACATCTTTCTTAAATCATTTCTCAAATCTCCGCAGCAACGCGCGGGGAATTCACCTAGTTACTTTAACTTAAGATACTTTGCTAGTATTCAAAGGTTTTTATTTTCTTTATTTTTTACTGACCAGTGAGTACTTATAGTGTATTCTCAAGATTTTTGGAGAAATTAGAATTAAAAAACGCATACCCTTTATTTTATTTCTCAATCAAATGCTATCATCAACTTTGGTTAATGGAGATTGTTGATAAATGGCAAATAACAATATAATGCATACTAAATTTATGTTACTATTTACTACAAAAAAATCATGTCCCCTAAAGTATCTTATATTTGGGTACATTTTTTGAATAATTGAATGCACTGTATTGCACACGAGAGAGTATGTTATTACAGTGGGACGTACAACTTGTTATGTGGTCACTTTAGATTCATCTGGGGCCATTATAACGAGCTAGTTGTTTCGCTCACAAAATAGGCTAGAATCATATGTTATATCAATATCAAATATATTCATGGATAAACTTAGGCATACAACTAGTCAAAATTTGTTATACTCTCTCCATTTCCAAACACAATAGCCATTTGAATACTCTATAAATCTCTATTCGGTTGTGATAAATTTAACAACTAGCAAGAAGAGAAGAGTTAAACTCTTCACAAGAGACATAACACATCTATCTCTTGACACAAGAGAGAATATATAAATATTATATGGGATATACTCATATACAAGATAAAATGACATCTAAAATTGATACCTTCGCCAGCATCGTCTCTTCCGCACGTGAAGCATACTAGCTACCTCCTACTCCTAAAAACTTACAACTAGATGATCATTTGTGTTGACGATCGACGCGAGCACATCATATCTAGAGATAGCAATTGGCAACGTTACTCACGGGTAGAGGGTATATATATATAGGCCTGCACTAGTGAGCTAAATCTCAAACCCACACCCACACCCACACCTACAATCCGCCATGGGTAGAAAACTATAGCCACACCCGTTAACCACGGGTATACCCACAAACCCATCAAGACATTAAACATGTGTATAAATAGTTAAAAAAAACTTTTTCTAATATAGGTGTGAAACACTGGAACTTCATATTACACATGATATTATCCACAAATCACACATTATGATGCGATAGAAGATGACTAAGAGCATAAAACCATATGAGTAGGATTGCTTTTGTTTTATATATTGGTACAATGGTATTCAAGGGCCACATTGTGGGGCTGGAGCGGGTTTATGGGTGAAGCGAGCAAGGGTACCAATTTTCTATACCCGTTTTATTTTTCCCGTTGGATCATTATCTACGTACAAACCCATATCCACACCTATGGACACAAAGTTAGGTCCATATATCCATGAGGGTTTCTAATCGTGGGCATGCAAGTAATTTGTGCATGTATGCCATCACTAGCCGTACGTGTGTTCCACTTGTTTTTTATTGTAACTCTACGTGTTTGGATTTTGACGCTACCTAGCCAAGCTAAACTTTAGCCATAGCCAAACTAGAGCATGACCAAAAGCTAACAAAAATTCTAAAATACGCTAAAAATATATATATTATAGTTATTGTGAGTATAACAGCTAAGACCCATGTATTATTATTCAAAAGAATCTAGATCGGATTAGGGTTGTCGGTGAGGTATCTGGAGGCTCAGGTGAACCTCGTGTCGAGTGTCCCGGCCCCCCACCTCCTTTCTATGGCGTTGTGCGACGGGGGCCCACCAACCATGGCTCGGTTGGGCGCCCCTAATCAGGGCGTGGATCAAGGCCCCGACTCGGTCGTTGGACCGAGTCGGGAGGAGATCAACCTAACATTCTTCCCCTTGATCTCACTTTTAAACTTGAACTTAAAATACTTTATCTTTTTCCATTCCATCATAGATTAGTGCATAGAGCGTGCCTTGTCATAATAGCTAGTACCATTGGACTAACAGCTACAACATACCTCTCTGTTTTGAAACAGATTCTCAACTAGGCCCTTATTGTCTAGGAATCATAGGCTTTCCCGTAAACCCATGCCGGCTAATTGTTCTTTGAACACATTAGGTGGTAAGCCTTTTGTAAGCAGATCCGCAAGCATCTTATCTGTGCTTACATGCTCAAGACTAATAGCATGATCCCGTACTTTATCTTTCACAACATAGAACTTTATATCAATGTGTTTGGCAGCATTACTTAACCTATTGTTGTGAGCATAAGTTACTGTTGGTTCATTGTCGCAGTATAACTTGAGTGGTCTATGGATGTCGTCAACCACTCTCAACTACCCCGTGGCCTCGTAACAAGCTACAAACTCGACATACATTGTAGACGATGCAGTAACGGTTTGCTTGGAGCTTTTCCACGATATGGCTCCTCCTACTACGAGTAAATACATAGTCTGATGTGGATTTTCTATCGTCTAC